GATCTACAAGGTTTTCCTCTTTTTCTTCTCTTTTCTCTTCTTCCTCCTTTCTTTCTCTCCTTTTTCTTCTTTCTCTTTCTTTTCTCTCCTCTTTCCTCTTATATCTTTCTATTCTCATTCTTTATATTACTTTTCTCTCAAAAACATCTAATAATTCATCTTCTCACAAAATATCTAACTTCACATTAATTAAGAAATATCTAAAATACCTTCCAACCTAATTTTCCCGAAAACTCTCAAAAGCGATATAATAGCACAATATGCAAACATAACATATTAACACACCAATTCCACAAATAAAATAATAATTACCCAAAAAAAAATAAAAGACTCAACAAAAATGGGAAATCAGAATCGGGGCGTTACAACTCTTCTCCACTTTAGAAATTTTCGTCCTCGAAAATCTTACCTGATTCAAACAACTCCGGATACGACTCTCGCATCCCACTCTCTAATTCCCAAGTCATATTGCATTCTGAAGCGCCTCCCCGCGCTACTTTCACAAGCGCAATATCTTTGCCTCTTAGCTTCTTAACTTCACAGTCCAAAATCCTAATCGGTAAACCTTCCACCGTAAGGTTATCTCTCACTTCAACCTCGTCCATAGGAATAACATGTGATGGATCCGGAACATACTTTCGAAGTTGCGAAATATGGAATATATCATGCAAATTCGAAAGATTCAGAGGCAACGCCACACGGTAAGCCACACCCACTACTAGAAAACTTCAATTTAGCTGCGAATTTAGCCTCGGCCACCGACACCGAGGCTAAATAGCCTCGACAAAACCGAGGCTACTTAAACGCAAAAAAAACAATTTTACAGTTTTTCTTTTACCATTATTTTTATTTAGTTATTTAAACACGGCTTGGCTGAGGCTAAGTTTTTTTAAAGTATTAGACACAGTCAGACCAAGGCTATTTAAATGCAATAAACCTCATTTAAGAGATTTTCTATTTTTAAGTATTAGACACGGACCAGCCGCGGCTAACATTTTAATTATTTTTCAAATATATATTTATTTTATCTGGTAGACACGGACTAGCCGAGGCTAAAGTTTTTAATATTTTTCAAATATATATTTAATTTATCTGGTAGACACGGATCAGCCGAGGCTAACGTGTTTTATTTTTTATTTTATCTGGTAGACACGGATGAGCCGAGGCTAAGTATTTCCCACCTTGTTTTTCATGTTTCCCTCTTAATCCCTTTCATAGAAAACGAACCCTAAAATTGAAGAGATACATTTTCAGAAGAAAAAAAAAACCCCAAAATCAATGTAGTGAGTTTCATCTCTTCGTTTTCGTCTTCAACATCATTGATTCTTATGAGTGGGTTTATTGGTCTCTGATTCTTCTTCTGCTTTTTTTTAACCTCAAACTATATTCTCTGATTCTTCTTCTGCTTTTTTTCAATGTAGTGAGTTTTAGTCAAGCTGCAAGTGCTTCCAAGAAGATAAAGCTGTTAAATTAAGTTTAAAAGATAAAGCTATAAGTGCTTCCAAGAAGATAAAGTTGTTGAAGTGCTTCCAAGAAGATAAAGCTGTTGAAGTAAGTTTAAAAGATCAAGCAGAGAAAAGGTTAGATTCTTGTTTGTGTTATTTGCCATTTTAACATTAGATTTTGTTAATTGCCATTCTAATTCCAACCCTAACTGAGGTTAAAAACCCTAAGCAGAGAAAAGGTTTAACAATTTGTTGTGATTGAAAACCTGACCATTCCGTTGCTTTCCTTAATTCGTGGGATTAAAATGAATTATTTACACTATCTAGCTAGAATGGGATAAAAAACTAGAGCTTTAAATTCTTGATTGTTGTAATCTGTACCAGAACAACATGTTAAAATCTTAACTAAGTTCCGGTGTCTAATTGAAGATTGAGGAGCGTGTGGAACATATTCTAGCTGACTAACTTGAGTCATTTGAATCTGGTTATCAGTGAGTTTCTTGGTCATAGGCTTGAGTTTTTGTTGGAGCCTTTTCAACTTTGTCCAGACGGCTTGCATAGGTCTCTCCCTCACCTCCTGAAGCCAGATTTCCTTAACAGTTCTAAGGAAGGTCTCATCATGAGTCACACAATTCGGAAATTTAAACATGGTAGGTATTCCCAAGTGATTTTCATACATGCTGATCTTCACAGGATTATGATCTGAGATGTTTGCTGCCAGGTTTTCTATCACAGCATCTTGGATTCCGTTGAATTCCAACCCTAACTTTTTTATAACCCTAACTGAGAGGAGATTCCGTTGGATTCGAACGCAGAAGGATGAGAAGGCGAACACGTTTTTGAGAGGAGATTCCGTTGGATTCAGGGCCAGGACTTTTATTGCGTTCACAATTGAATACTGCAAAACGAATCTCTTCAGACGATAACAGATTTGTTAGTTGTAAACTTCTTCAATGGACAAAGTGATTAAGCTTGACAGATCCATTGATGGTCTAACTGAATAGCTACTGAATAGCTACTGCTAACTGAATCGCTACTGCTAAACCCAGTCTGAGCCAACTAATCTTGGCTCTTTGTATGAGAGTGAGAGGCTCCTAATTATCCTAATTATCCAGTCTTGTGAATCTCCTCTTGGAAGTCAGCCATATCCACCACACTGTTGAGAAACTTAAAGTGAAACCGTCTCTTATGCGTATCCGTATCAAGATTTTTCAGCAGCAGTAAATTATGATCAGACACACTAGGAGCCAAAATGTGAAGGGTTATGTCCATGTATTTTAGATACTGTGAGTGAAAATAGTTCTAGTATATTCCATTTTCAGTATAGTTCTAGTATATTCCATTTGGAGATCAGATTTTTAGATACTAAAAATCTATTTAACTTGCTACAACAAGTACCTTTGACCTTGGCATGAAAAAGAACGTCGCAAACTACAAGCTCAGACAGGAAATCATACTTTTTGACAGAGAAAATTGCTTTCATCTGTGCAGCAACATGATGTTGTAGCTTCACATTAAGCTATATCTCATTGAGAATCATATCATATAGATATTATATTCTAAGTGTGTTAATCCAAATTAGGCTGTTGTTGTATTAAGATAGAATCACCATTGGACATGTAGGGATTTACTTTTGGTGGATGCATTCCATATATATGGTAGAGATGATGAAAAAGATGAATTAATCAAGCTTTGGATGGCTGAAGGTTTGTTGAAGTGTCGTGGACAAGAAAAGAGTGAAGCTAAGCTGGGTACAATTTTTGGTGATCTTGAGTCAATTTCATTTTTTCAACAATCAACCCATGATAGTGATTGCTTTGACATGCATGACCTTGTCAATGATTTAGCTAATTCAGTGTCGGGAGAATTTTGTATGCGAATGGACGCATCTAATGCAGAATGTATCTCTAAAAGGACGCATCACATTAGATGGTCTCTTTAATCAAATTTTATTTATAAATTACTAGAGCCAGTTTTTGAGCTTAAGGGACTATGCAGTCTATTATGAAAACGTGATATGTTTTCAAGACTAAAATATTTGCAAATGTTATCATTCAATGGTTGTAAGCTCTCAGAGCTAGTTGATGAGATAAGCAATTTAAAGCTTCTGCGTTATCTAGACCTTTCTTTGACAGGAATTTCAAAATTACCCGTCACCATTTGTATATTGACTAATTTACAAACACTCTTATTGTGGGGCTGTTCTAAATTGATTGAGTTCCCTTCAAATTTTTCCAAACTCGTCAGTTTGCGTCATCTTGGATTTCCCTATACTATAAAGAAGATGCCAAAGCATATAGGAAGCCTAAGAAATCTCCAGACCTTGACTTATTTTATAGTGGAAGAGAAGAATGGGTCTGATCTTAAGGAGTTCAGATTTTTAGAGATCAGATTTTTAGATACTAAAAATCTATTTAACCTGCTACAGCAAGTACCTTTGACCATGGCATGAAAAAGACCGTTGCAAACTACAAGCTCAGACAGGAAGTCATACTTTCTGACAGAGAAAATTGCTTTCATCTGTGCAGCAACATGATGTTGTAGCTTCGCATTGAGCTATATCTCATTGAGAATCATATCATATAGATATTATATTCTAAGTGTGTTAATCCAAATTAGGCTGTTGTTGTATTAAGATAGAATCACCATTGGACATGTAGGGATTTACTTGGAGCTAGTATTATACGCCCCAAATATCTTTGTTCCATTCAGGATTGTCTAGTTACTGGTGTAAAAAATAAATCCAATGATTGTATTTTTTGTTATGAGAACTCATTGTTTTGTGATTCTTCTTTTAGTATAAAAACTTTGTTTACTATTTTTATTATTATTCTAACTCCAATACTCCACAATAAGAAGGGACTAAGACATTTATATAACAAGAGTTTATGCTACAAAGACATGCATCAAACAAAAAAACCTAAACAATAATTTGAGACCACACATGTTAATTGTTTGCTATATAAAAAATGGGCCCTTTTAAGGTTATCTTACTAGATTATTTGTGATATAGAAAATGTTTAGTGACTCACATGTTAATTGTTTGCTATATAGAAAATGGATCGTACTTGGATGTATAATAGAGCATATTCCGATAGACATGGATTGAAAGATGAGTTTGTTCGTGGGGTTAAAAAGTTTGTGAAGAAGGCTTTGAATCAACCCATTTGTAAATCTGAGGGAGGGATAAGGTGTCAGTGCATAAATTGCAAGTGTTGTAAGATAAGTACAGCAACTAATGTAATACTTCACTTATATCGAGATGGATTTCAACCAGACTATTGGATTTGGACTCAACATGGAGAAGTGGAGCTCAATATTGATACAAGGGGTGGCTCAAATAGTAGTGAACATGTGCGTCAAGCTGACCAGTTTGAGGCAATGGATCAAATGGTGTATGATGCATTTAGGCCTCATGTAGGTTTCTCTCACGCGAATGATAACAGGGAACAAGAGGAATTTTTGGAGGATGAGTTTCCCAACGAAGAAGCTAAATAGTTTTATGACAAGTTGATATCTTTCAACAAGCCTATCTATGAGGGAGCTACCCAGTATATGTTATCAATATCTACTCAACTTCTTGATATTAGGTCTAACTGGCATGTTACACAAAAAGGTTTAGATTTTGTTGCACAAATGCTTAAAAGTGTATGTCCAGTTAAAAAATGTTTACCTGAGAACTATTACCAAGCATCACAGTTGGTGTCTAAGTTAGGGCTAAAGGTTAAGAAGATTGATTGTTGTAAGAATGGTTGCATGTTATACTACAAGGATGATAGTAAGTTGTCTGAGTGCAAATTTTGTAATGCTCCTAGGCTCATTCCTCGCAAGACTGGCATGGGAAAGTACAAAGATATCCCAGCGAAGAGGATGTTTTATTTTCCAATCATTCCTAGATTACAAAGACTATATGCATCAACCGAGTCGGCAACTGAAATGAGATGGCATCAAATGAACAAAAATAGTTCCAACGTCCTTCGCCATCCGTCTGATGGAAAAGCGTGGAAACATTTTGATGATGTATATCCTGACTTTGCTAGGGAACCCAGAAATGTAAGATTGGGTTTGTGTTCAGATGGATTTACTCCTTACATTCAAACATCTGCTTCTCCATACTCATGTTGGCCAATAATAGTTACTCCATACAATCTTCCCCCTGAAATGTGCATGGCCAAGCCATACTTGTTTCTTGCTTGTCTCATACCTGGACCTCACAATCCTAAATTGAAGATAGATGTCTACTTGCAACCATTGATTGATGATCTATGTCTATTATGGTCCAATGGAGTTTTGACATATGATATATCCACAAAACAAAACTTCATCATGAAAGCCTGCTTGATGTGGACAATTAATGATTTTCCAGCCTACGGTATGTTTTCTGGATGGGGAACACAAGGTAAGCTGGCATGCCCTCATTGTATGGAACACATAGATGTTTTTACCTTGAAAAGTGGCCATAAGAATTCCTGGTTTGACTGTCATCGTTATTTCTTGCCAACTAATCACTCTTTCAGAAGGAGTAAAAGAAGTTTCATAAAAAATAGGGTTGTGAAAGACGACCCACCTCCCGTTTCCACAGGTCAAGATATATGGGCATTACTAAGTAATCTTCCAAAAGTGACTGAAATTGGATGGGAAGAAAAATGGAAAGAGTTTGAAGGGTATGGAGTTGATCATAATTGGAAAAAGCGAAGTATTTTTTGGGATCTCCCATATTGGAAGGATAACTTGTTAAGGCACAACCTCGATGTGATGCACATAGAAAAAATATCTTTGATAATATATTTAACACTGTCATGAATGTTAAGGATAAAACAAAGGATAACAAAAAGGCGAGAGAAGACTTGGCTAAATTATGCTTTCGTGGGGACTTAGAGCTCCAACCCTTAACTAACGGAAAGAGGGGTAAACCAAAGGCAAGCTACACTCTGACCAAACCTGAAGTCAAGTTGGTTTGTAAATGGCTGAAGGAATTGAAAATGCCAGATGGCTATGCTTCAAACCTCTCTAGGTGTGCCAATGTCGAAAAGGGTACGGTGCATGGGATGAAGAGCCATGATTGTCATGTTTTCATGGAGTGTTTACTCCCAATTGCATTTCGTTCATTGCCGGATTTGGTATGGAAACCATTAACCGAGCTAAGTCGATTCTTCAAAGACCTTTGTTACAATACGTTAAGGATGGATGACTTAGTTAAGTTGGATGAGAACATTGCAGTTATCATATGCAAGTTAGAAAGGATATTTCCACCTGGATTCTTTGAATCAATGGAGTATCTTCCAATCCATCTTTCTAAAGAAGCGATGTTAGGTGGTCCAGTACAGTACCGGTGGATGTATCCATTCGAAAGGTAATGGTTGTGGTTGCTTTTATTTAGTAATTACTCATTTATCATAACTTAATAGACGTAGTATGATTGAATGTGAAGATTTATGGGAGTCTCAAAGAGGGCAGTGACAAATAAGGCTAGAGTTGAAGGTTCCATATGCACCGATTATATACATCGTGAGACAAATTACTTTTGTTCTCATTATTTCAACTCATTCAATTTGTTGCCAAACACAAATATTTGTAACAATCCTCGTTCAGACCATGATGACATCCTACCTACAATGTCCCTCCTACACAGTGGTGGTCGACCAAGTGGGAAGTCTGGAAAACATTATCTATCAGATAAGGAATGGAAGTCTTCACATGTACATGTCTTGATAAATTATGATGAGGTCAAACCATATATTGAGTAAGTATGCACCATAAAACATCAATCAAGATCTTGATGCATATCATGATAAATATTTACTCATGAATTGTGTGGTTGATTGCAGCATATTCTTAGAAAGTCATTCTATAAGTATAGAAGATTCATCTGGACAAATACATACAGAGTTTCCCATATGGTTGAAGAAATATGTAAATGAGAAGACAAATGGAGTTACCAACAAAGACATAATTGCCTTATCACACAGTCCTTCATCATTGGAAATCTCTTGGAACATGTACTTTGTAAATGGGTATAAGTATCATACCGAAGAATGGAGCAAAGGTAAAAAAACTGTCAATTGTGGTGTGCACGTGAAAGGTCTCGCTGAAGGAGGAAAATATGATTTTTATGGCATAATCAAACATATATATGAACTAGATTACTTTGGTTTGAAGGAGAAGATTCCACTTTTTTATTGTGAATGGTTTGACCCAACAAAGAACACAGGAACAAAGGTTCATCCACAATATAAAACTGTTGATATTAAGATGGATAAGCATTATCGTCCTTATGATCCTTTCATCCTTGCGCAAAATGCAAGACAAGTGTATTGTGTCCCATATCCAGAAATGTGTAGAGATATGCGTGGATGGTGTGCGGCAATCACCACAAAACCAAGGGGTCATGTGATGATTGATAACATAGAGGATGAAATGCCATATCAGTCTGATGGGATGTTACCTGTTCTACCCACTATTGAAATTGAATCAATATCTTGTTTGTGTGACGACACACAAGTAGATGTGTTTGAAGAGATTTTTGATACGTAGTGAAGCAACGATAGGATATTGATTGAAGACGCACAACTATGTTATGGTTTATTATGTGTATTTTGTATTCCAATATCTTGATGAATATGATATTATCATTTCTCTTTTTCCTAAGTATTTTCTTCCTTGTTCACATGCTTTGAAATCTAATCATCAGGATTTATTAAACAAATTATTTGCACTGCCCATAAGGATTTCTTCCAAGATCAATGTCATTAAGGTTATCATTTGCACTGCCCATAAGACTCTCATAGACAAACTTCTCCTTATTAATAAGCCCAGGATTTTCTCTTAATAAGCCCAGGATTTTCACCTTATTAATAAGCCCAGGATTTTCTCTGTCATGCACCAACTTCTCCTAATTATCCGCAACTGTTGCCTAACTAAGTTTAGGTAATGATTTGTTAGAATGAATTAGTATTCATGATAGTGAATTGGGAGTCAAAATGAAATTCACAAGCAAAATAGATGCGTGCTATCAGTTGGATTCAATTTTGTATCAACAGGCTACAACTTGTATGTACAGTAAGATCATGCTTTATACAACTTGTTTGTTGTTGAATTGAGTCCATTTATACCCAAGAGAACTTTTAAATATAAAAGTTGATCTAGTGGAACTCATTGACTGATACAACTTGCATTGTGTGAATTAATTCTGACTAATAACTTAAAATGTTAATCCTGATTTGGTATTATTAGCATGTATCTTGTTGTGTTTTCATGTAAAAGTAGAACACTTGAAGGAGATGAGTTTGGTGTTTAGATAGTAAGTAGATTAGGCTGAATGAGTGCTGAAGATATTTACTGCATTACTTCTGTATGGAAGAATAGTAAACATTTGAAACATGGAAAGTGAGTATTACTACTTTCAGCTAAGACTTCACCACAGTAATGGGTCTATTTTTATGTGTTAATTGTATGCACTATGTACCCTTTTGTCAGATTGTTATCCTCTGGAACTACAATTATCCCTCGAGCAGCAGCACCTGTTATTGATGTGCAGGTATTCAGTGTGATCAACTTATGTGATTGTCTTTATTTGTATGTGAATGGCCAAAGCCAATGGTTCATTTTTATAATGCTTCTAGACTGTGCTCATTGATCGGTTGAATTTTTTCTTTTTGTAACTTTTTTGTGGAGAACAGGATGGTAATCAAGGTGAGACTGATACCGTTCCAACCCCAATAGTCATAATGGATTCAATTCTTGTCTAATTCTTTTTGTATTTTATGACAGCAGATGACTAACAGAAGTGGAGGTGAGAGAGGAAAGGAAAATCCAAAAAAAGGAAAATATAAGTGCTTAGCACCCGGAAAGCTTATTGATAATCAGAATAGCATGTAAGAAATCTACATTTGTTCAGTCATCACAAGCTACTACAACACCGACTCCACCAACTCGGACTCCATCATTGGCTCCGACTCCCTCGGTTGCTTCCACTCCATCACCTGCTTCGACTCCATCACCTGCTCCAAATCCATCGTTGGCTCCGACTCCCTCGGTTGCTTCCATTCCATCACATGCTCCGAATCCATTGCCAGTGCGGGCTACACCGGTCTCGCGGACTGCACCCATTTTCCGGACTGTGCCTGTGCCGCAGGCTGTACCACCATTGCAGACTACATTGTCATCTGCACCTAATCATGCCTCTACCTCTGAGGTATTTAGGTTTATGCTTACTCCGGGTTTAAACATTCAAAATGTGGTTGTCCCTCTAGATAATGCCTCACGTGAGATTCCGATGGAGGTAAATGAAGAGGAAATTGAGGACGAGGACGCGGATGAGGTGGTCGTGGGTGAAGGTAATGTTCCCCCTCATATGATAATAAGGGATGATAATGGGAAGGTTATTATACAAACTTGTGGTAGCGGGTAAGTTTAAAATATTTATTCAATATTGTAACATGCTTCAATATTATCATTGGTTTCAACAGTATATCATATGACATTATTGGTTTCATTCAATATTGTAGGCTTGTTCCGGCCAAAGAAGTAGAAAATGCCATTAATTATGCGATACGTAAACAATTTTATAGGGGTTTCTATAATTGGACAGCAGTTTCCGATGATGTCAAAGAAAAATGGTTTGCTCTTTTTGCGGTAAGTATATATTGAATTTTGTCTAAAAGCCTCAGTATTAAGGACAAAAACACATGTTTCCTTATGGATAGATGCTGACAAAAACACATTTTCAGGACAAGGTTTCATGGGATCCTCAATATGAGATGTTTGTCAGGAAAGCCTTTTATTCAAAGGCAGCCATTCGACTAAATGACATAATGAGGAAGGTGAGGTTAAAAGGGACCCGTCCTTCATGGATTGGTGAGGATTCCTGGAATGAGCTTGAAACTTATTGGAAGAGTGATTTGTTCTTGAAATTGTCCTCTCAAAACAAGGCCAATCGATGTTCAGCAAGAGGAGGAGCAGTCCACACCTCAGGTCGTAAGGCTCATGTTGATGTAGCACTTGAACTTGTAAGTAAATTAGTCGATTTTTATTTCAATCTTTAATTATTTACACTATCAAATTTACTTTAATTTATATTTGTAGACCCAAGAACTTCAAAGGGATGTACGCCCTGATGAGTTATTTTTAAAGACCCATAAGAGGAAAAGTGGAGCATGGGTTGATCATCATGCTGAGTCTACATACGTAAGTCTTAATTAAATAATCTATCATTAGGTGGCAAATGGGAATCAAATTATCAATTCTTCACAGTTTCGCTGCTGTAGTTGTTTTGTGTATGTGCATCATATATGTTTGTTAGTTGAATCTTGGAAGACATAGGCATAAGTGTAAATAAGACTGTAAAGTGGTTCATTACTACAATAATTGACTCTGTCTGTAGTGAGCTCAGACAGTGGTTCATTACCATAACAGATAGATAGAATCCCATTTTTATTATATGTTTCACACAGTTGTTTGTTAGCACGATCAGTGATAAGGTGTTCTCTCTCAGCCATGGTTAGCATACTGAAAAGTATGATCCACTTTCACCCAATAACTAGCTTGGTTATTGCTTGTTTTATTACTAATACATACGAATCTAAACTCAATAACATGTAGCAGTATCTTAAGCAAAACAGAATTGCACACAGATTTTATGTGCATGCAAACTATATATTCAATTTAATAATAAACACCTAGATAAAGTGAAGCTGTCATTTATAATATACCCTTTCATCAATCAGCTATCAACTATCCAATTGAGCAGTGAATTGCAATAGCGAAACTCTAAAATTGTCAAAAGCGAAAAACTCAAACAATCTCGAAATTAGATTTTTAGTAAACAAATTCACCACACGAAACAAATTCACTACTGAAAAAGCTGAATTGAAATGCTGAATCAAGGGCAAAACTAGATCTAGGAGTTGGAAGTGAAGTTGACAGAACTAACCGAACAGTAGAAGACAACAATGCAGGCTTCACTTCATTTATAATATACAATTTTAGAGTTTCGCTACTGCAATTCACTAGCTTGGTAATTGCCTGCATTGTTTCTGTTCAGCCCATGTATGCCTGTTGCTGTTTTTGAAAGTTTGCTATTATTTTCATGAACATATGTTTGCACTTTGATTAGTAATTTGTACTGGATTGCTGCTGTTTTCATGAACATATGAACATATGTTTTCATGAACATATGCATGCATTGTTTTTGTCCAGCCCATCTATGCCTGCTGCTGTTTGTCATATCTTTAACTGCTCCTTCTTTCTTGGCTTTTCTAATGGCGTGGGCAGATATTGAAATATAAAATTGATTCAGAAATTGTTCATATATGGTTGTTGGATTTCAGCTCTAATTAGGTCTTTCAACATAATACGCACACTCCAAACATAATATCCCGGCAAAGCTGCAACAGTTAAGGACTTTGATGTAGGGGACCCTTAATTTGGTGTTGTTAAAATAGTTTTAATAGATTAGTTACGCCAACTAAGTTGATAGATATGTTTGATTTTATGATTGCAAACTATAATCTGCGACATTCTATTTAAATGAACTTCAGGCCATTAGATTAGAAAAAAAGATAGCATAGGAAATGTAACTGCAAATTGCTGGCTCAGAGCACAAAAAGTCTAAGTATATCAAAATTACAGCTGTGTTTGTGTGTGTGGCACGCGTTTTTGCTGTCTAAGGTGGTACTCTTTCACTAATGTTGTACTAATTATAACCTGTTTTCTGTTACAAATGATGCTGCTGCAAATGCTGAAATGTTGTACTAATCATTGAAATGTTGAAATGTTAATTATTGAAATGAGATTAGGTGAAACTAGGTTGTAGTTATTAATTATTGAAATGTTGTACTAATCGTTTTTCTGTTTTACAGTCCACTTTTAAGGAAAAAGCTGGAGATGATGTCGAGAGGTTAGATGGAGAGATCATTTTTAAATTATAGACAGATTCTGCTGGGGGTCGTAGTCGTGGTCGAGTTTATGGAACAACGAATTTAGCTATCAATATGAAGCATGGATCTACATCCTTTATCCAACAACCTCAAAATTCCCGCGGATCTATGTTTGGGACATCCTTTGAATCAGAGAGAGCATCTAGAATTAGAGCTGAACAATTGGCTGCAGCTACATCAGCTCGACTCGAAGAGGCTACCAAATCTATTCAGGCGTCAAATGAGATTGCTCGGAAGGCAACCGAACAATATCAAGCGTCTAACGAGTTTGCTAAGAAGATGGAGTCTGAACTGAATGCTTTGAAGGCATTTATCATGCAGAAGCTTGACCCTACAAATGGTAAATCTACTAGAGTTGTCATTCGATCGTCAAATCCTCACTATGATGATGATTTAGATGACCAATCATTAAGTGAAGATTGATCATGCAGTGTTAGTAGAAGTAGTCTCGGATGTAAAATTTTTTGGACATGATTTTCAATGTATTCCGAGTTTTTGGGGATGTTTTTTGTTGTACATATGACTACTTTTTTTGTTATTGTTTCAATCTATGTAATATTTTGATAACTCTTACTTCATGTGTTATATGTTTTGATA